GTGTCTTTCCCACACTAGGCCTTCTTTTCTGTCTCTAGGCAAACGAGGTGACCGCCAGGACAATAATTTTAAACAATTTTCTTCAACAGCCCATTGTCAGATTGAATCTATTGTTTTGAGGAGTTCGGTTATTAATTCATGTAATTTTTGCTCTCGCGTTTTAGGATCTTATACAGGGTGTTAGAAGTTTGACTGCCTTAATTTTAACAGACGATAGAATACATTAAAATAAACAAAAAACCTTATGTGACATGGGTCCTAAACTCAATCATTTCCGAGAAAAAAATTATCAAAATCTCCAACTTGACGTACAAAAGTTTGATTAATTAAGGAATATTGACACAACTGCGTGCATAGTATACCATAAAATACAATGTTTATCACTTTTTTTAACTTCTCTATGCTTAATTCTAAAAACTAATTAGCGTTGTAATAAATTTAAAATTCGATGAAATTCATATCGAGCAATGTGACAAGGGCGCGGCGGTTAACACGAGGTACTAAGGGGTCCAGCAACCAACAATACGCAATTCAGTTGGTATCTGGAATTCGACAGTCGAAGACTTGCGAGAACGAATTTTTGCCCATCGAAGAAGGCGAGTGCGCGAAAATTGGATTCGAAGTGTTGTGCGTGCATCGAAAATGATGGTGGACATTTTGAGCATATATTGTAGTTTGTTTTGTACTTGTGCGTTCAAAAACTACTGAATTTCGCTTTTTGGTAAGTGCCTAAATTATTTTTAATACGTATGATTATTTAGATGACGTGAATCTTTGGGTACTTTAATTACATATTTTTTAAATTAATAATTTGATTCAACGTTAAGTTCCTGTTTTAAGAGATTCATAATTACTAAAATTCGAGCTAAAATTTAAGCACAACACTATCTTCGTACTACAAAATCGATACATTTTGTTTCACTTATTTAAAAACTGGAAAACAATTATTTTGAAATTTACGAAATGTTTCACAATAATAGTTGTTTACATTTTTGTTATTCCGTAGAACAAGTCTGCCGCGTGCACACGTGGTGTGCATCAGCTGTGTAACATTAAGTTAAGCGCTGTTGTCACGTTGTGATGAAACTCCCCAATATTAATACTCGCTGTATTTTGAAAACTGTTAATCTTACGCCCCTGTAATATCCAACTTCTTTGTTCATTTATGATTACTCTATCTCTAAAGTAATAGTAGTCAAATTTTTTATTCCCTGTATATTTCTGTAATCTTTTGGAAGTTTGACGTATACACAGGCATTTTATTGATTTAAGAATGTAAACTATTAGATTTAATTAAATAAAGGATTAGTCAAAGACTTGTGTTTTTTCCGTGCGAAAATTTACAACACAATACATAAAGCGTGTGTTAATATTACCTTTTTACTCCAACCAAATTACACTTGGAGAAAAAAAAAATATTACCTGGACTTTTATAAGTGGAAATGGTAAAAGGGCTTATAATAAATCTAAAAAAATAAATGCGTGAGCAGGGACGGCGCACTATGTATCATTTTTTTTACAAAAATCAAATATCTTGACTCAGAGAGTAGATAAAAATATGAGCCTGGTTGCAAATGGAAGCTGAATGGACGTAGAATATGGGAAAAATATGACTGAGACAATTTTTTTTCTATATGACCTTCGAATGACTAGGCAAAGTCTATGCAACCCAAAAATTTTAAGGATTTTTCTAATTATATCGGTCCTAATTCTCTTAAAATTTATCTATAAGTCACTGCTTACCATCTACAGTGTGTTTATTTGACATTTATTTGTAAAATAAAAAACAGAAACCCAGGTTGATAATTAATCTTTAATTTGTGAATAATTTTCTTGCTTAACAGTGTCAAAAAGCTTGAAAATAATACCAACTTTGGAGAGACTTTGCTAGCGTTAGAAAAATGATAGAAAATTTTTGACGCCAGATTTGGAATTGCCGTGCCAAATTGTGCAAAATCGTGTGCATTGGAATAAATTTTAAGAGAATTAGGACCGATATAATTAGAAAAATCCATAAAATTTTTGGGTTGCATAGACTTTGCCTAGTCATTCGAAGGTCATATAGAAAAAAAATCGTCTCAGTCATATTTTTCCCATATTCTACATCCATTCAGCTTCCATTTGCAACCAGGCTCATATTTTTATCTACTCTCTGAGTCAAGATATTTGATTTTTGTAAAAAAAAAATGATACATAGTGCGGCGGAGGGATGATTTGGGGGGGTTGAAAAGTTATGAAAAATTGTATCATTGGGATTTCTGGCGAAAGTTGACGTTAAACAAAAAAGTATCCAATACAAAGTTGTAGATCATGCAAAAATCTATAACTTTTGTAGAGGTCACATTTTAACATTACCTCAAAATTTCCGAGAAAAATGCGTTTTTTTCTGATTTTTCGTTTTTTATTTCTCATTTCCGCAAAAATAATTTAATTTTAACGAAACTTGGTGAAAGTATATATTCTCTATCTAAAATAACCTCAAATTTTTTTAGATAAAAAAATCAAGAAGTTTCTGAGATATTCATTTTTTTCGGCCTGAAACACTTTCTCAAAGAAAAATTCTACTTAAAAAAATCATCGTACAGAGTTCTACCGGTAATAATTTTTTTCGTTTTGACATACTTTTTGGTGAAATAAAAAAAACTGTAATAACATTTCAAAAACATGCTCAAAAATGCAAAAAAAATAAAAAATGACTTGCAACAATAAATTTTTCAGTTATTGTTGATAATTTATTTAAATTAAAAAATATTCAAAAACTGATTACACCATTCAATTCTACGGAAAAAAATAAAAAAAACCTGTGTCTCATTGTTTGACCCAAAACTTTATTTTTGTACAGTATTGCTATAAACATCTAAGTCGAATTACAAATGCACAAATGATAAATTATCAGGATGATTTGAGATTTCAGCAATATAAAGTATTAACTGCAGTCTACTGTTGACGCGAAATCCGAAAACCCAAAATTTTGCAAAATCGTTTAATTTTTTTCTGGTTTTATTTGAAAACGAATTTTAAATAAATTGCATATTTACATTGCCACCTTTTTCGCTCTATCCAATGGCGTCAACATTTTTGCAATCCCACGTTTCGTCTTCGACGGTCCATCATCAGATTAATTTTTTTAAATATATCGCTGCTATTTTTATGACAAAATCTAGTCATTTTTAATTCTGTATTAGATGATATTACTATTGCAATTAAAAAGGTTTTTAGCTATCAGTAAAAATTTTTCCTGAGTACGGCTCTGAACGCTTTCAAAATACCTGTATCTATTGGAAGAGAGAGAAATAAAAAAAATGAATATCAGAAATTTATTGATTTTTTTATCTAAAAAAAAATTTGAGGTTATTTAAAAGGTATACTTTCACCAAGTTTCGTCAAAATTAAATTATTTTTGCGGAAATGAGAAATAAAAAACGAGAAATAAGAAAAGAACCTGTTTTTCGCATTTTTCTCGGAAATGAGATTATGTTAAAAAGTGGCTTCTATAAAAGTTATAGATTTTTGCATGATCTACAACTTTTGTATTGGATACTTTTTTGTTTGACGTCAACTTTCGCCAGAAATCCCAATGATACAATTATTCATAACTTTTCAACCCCCCAAATCAACCCTCCGCCGCCCCTGCTCACGCATTTATTTTTTTTTTTTTCATTTATCGCAAGCCCCTTTATCATTTCCACTTCCAGGTAACAATTTTCTTTTTTTTTTCCTATAAATGAGTTGTTTTGATCGGTCTATTAAAGATACAAGGAGCTTTCAAAATTAACTCGTAGTGACCTAAATATAGCATCCTCTCTCTATCTCTGAAACCTTAAGAATAACAAGAATAGAGATAGTAATTTGGGCACTCTAGTGACAACAAAAGCATTGTAGCAATCTTCTGAGATATAAGACATGAGAATGATATAAAGAAAAAACTAGCAGTCTGTCTTTTTGATCAGATTGAATATCAAATGCAATTTTATGAAATTATGAACAGTAACAATTTGAAAACCTGTTTGTTAGGCAGGACTAAATTTATGACTGATCCTGTAGATAAAGGCGGTTGTCTATTTAAATTTTTTAAATATTTTTAGATAACTGATAGTCAAAATACTTCAAGCTCCTTTTTTCCTTGATAGATTTGCCTTGAAAATAAAAAGGAGAATATCCATTTTTCCTTATTATCACGAAAAAGTTTCAGTAACGGTTATATTATTTAATGACATAATGAGATCATAATTTAACTACTTAGCAAGAAGTTTACTCGGCAGTGTTTAAAATTAGCCCCTACATTTAATGATGCTGAAAATCCCCTAAGCTGTATCTTCATTGTCTTAATAAAACTGTTTTTTTTACGTAGGAAGATACTGATCTTTCTCATTCAGTACCGTTGTTTTAATGTTGCTCCAAATTTAATTTTGTCACATTTATAAAAAGAGAAAAGTGCGAAATTCGCTTGTAAGGAAAGGAGTTAACAAAATAATTCCCGATGTCAAAGAATTTTGAGAGACTTGTGTTGAATAGGGGCAACAGATTATTTACTATGCTATATTTTCCTTCACTCCTATGTACGTTTACTCAGGGATACAATTTAGACAAAATAAATCCAATAGGTACTCATTTTGGTATTTATTTAAACAATTGGCTTATTTAAACATATATGTACATGGTAAATTTAGACTACATCACTAGTATAATTAACATTAATTAAAAACTATTATAAGATTTCAACAATCAGCCAATCAATATTTAATTGTAAACTATTATAATAAAGACCTCTGTGGAATGAAAAACAGGTTCAATAACTTTCCCTCGCACAGCAACCAATTCATAATGTCATGTAACAGTAAATAATGACTAAAAATACAATTGTATATAAAATATAAATTTATTACAGATATAATAAAATAGCGTGCTTTCTATATTTTTTTTATAATAATCACCTAAAAATAATTGATTTATCATCTATCGTATATATTTTTGAGTGCTATGTACAAATGTTTATTGTATTTTATAGCAGTATACTCTCCATTGTATTTTACAAAAATTATAAGGTTTACTCATCTACTTATGAACACACTTAACAAACACTATAATAAGAATGCTAACACTAATTTCTTACCTTAACAAAATACACTCATCAGCAAGCAGACCAAGAAGCGAAGTTAAAATTAAAACACATGACTTCGGTTTTTTGGAAATTTAAATCGAAAGTTACGTAAAGAGTGTGTGTTAAGGAGAGGTAATAGCTTTGCCTGGTTTTTCAAAACATATGGAACAAGAGAGAATTAATTTTGTTAATGTTTACGTGAAGAGATTTTTAGGAAAATAAATGATAATATAGAATTAATGTAAGTTCCTGACATAAAGGTGATTTTTGCAATTGCAGATTTGTACTAACGTCAATGTTTTATTAAAATATATATAATTTCTGTATAGTAGTCTCCATATCTGGTTTGATTTATGCTATAGATAGATGTTGTTTTATACATTTATAAAAATAATCTCTAACAATATGCAATTCATGATATGATACAGAAAGGCTTAACTTAAATTTATTTTGGGGAAAATTAGACCCATTTACTATTTATTTTCAATTAATTTAAATTAGGTGTGTATTTCTTCTGCCTGACACGACAGCTGGTAACCTTGAGTAAAAGTCGGTTATTTCATATATTTTAAATTATATAAGTACAGGTGTAGTTTTTTAAGTTAGCGATTAATACCAATTTCTAAAAAGAAAAAATTGTTACCAGCAATAATATAAATCCACATAATTGTGGCCTCCAGGAACAAATTGATGGATTCCAAAAATCAAGGCATTGTAATTTCATGTGATACAATATTAAAACTATCTTCAAATTATTGATATGTTAGGTACGTTTTTTGTCGATTGATGATCAGTATTCTGTGGATTCACTTGTTTTTATTACTGTAGATCAACACTAGTTTTCTAACTGAATATGAAATAAAATTGTGTTGAAATAAAGAACAAATTATATCATACTTATATATATATA